GAGCATGGCAGTATGAGACAGGACCCCGTGAAGCTGGTCCTGTGAGCCTTCCTGGGGCAGGATTGCTGGCTGCACATCTTTATCTAGGCCCAGATGTCCGGGTCCCTAGGAAGGCCAGGGCTGGGAGCGCAGGGAGAAGTCAAGGCCTGGATCCCTCGGGAGTAGTATGATGGTCACCTCAGGTCTGTCCTTCTCTCCCCGTCACCCTTGCCCCCGCCCGCAGCGAGCCCAACCTCCTGGTGCGGGCTTGTAACCAGCTGGGCCAGTTCCTGCAGCACCGGGAGACGAACCTGCGCTACCTGGCGCTGGAGAGCATGTGCACACTGGCCAGCTCCGAGTTCTCCCATGAGGCCGTCAAGACACACATCGACACTGTCATCAATGCCCTCAAGGTGGGCCTCCACCCGCCTCTCCTCCCTGCCCAGGGCACCCAGGGCTCCAAGGCCAGGGGGTGGCCAGCCTCGAACCCAGCCTAGGCCCTGCTCTCCTCCCTCAGACCGAACGGGATGTCAGCGTGCGGCAGCGGGCAGCTGACCTCCTCTACGCCATGTGTGACCGCAGCAATGCCAAACAGATCGTGTCCGAAATGCTGCGGTACCTGGAGACGGCTGACTATGCCATCCGCGAGGAGATCGTGAGTCTAAGGGAGGAGGGCTGGGGCCAGGTTCCCTGGGCGTCCACACGGGGGCAGTAGTGAACGCCCCTGCCGACTGCTGTGTCGCACGCATGCAGTGCATCCATGCGTGCACGCACACGTGAGCACCCATACTGGTTGGCCCTCCCTGCCCAGGTGCTGAAGGTGGCCATCCTGGCGGAGAAGTATGCTGTGGACTACAGCTGGTACGTGGACACCATCCTCAACCTCATCCGCATTGCCGGCGACTACGTGAGTGAAGAGGTGTGGTACCGTGTGCTGCAGATCGTCACCAACCGCGATGACGTCCAGGGCTACGCTGCCAAGACGGTGTTTGAGGTCAGTAACCACACCCCCTGACCCCAAGGAAGGCCAGGTTGCCGGGCCCTGGGTCTTGGTGTAGATTCTCACTTCCTGTGCCCAGGATGGGAGTACTCTGACTGCATGACCTCAGGCCCATCACTCTGTGCCTCACTCTCCCTACCTTCATCCCAGGTGAGGTTCCAGCTGGCACTTATTGAGTATGCTCAGAGCTGAGGCCATTGACCCCCCCTCCTCCTTGTCCTCCCCCCTGCCCTCCTCCTAGGCCCTCCAGGCCCCAGCCTGCCATGAGAATATGGTCAAGGTCGGGGGTTACATCCTCGGAGAGTTTGGAAACTTGATTGCCGGGGACCCCCGTTCCAGGTGAGGGTAGTAAGCAACTGTATTTCTGGGAACCTGGGGGTAGGGGGAGACGGTACTCAGGGCTGGGAATCCTGGGGTTCCAAGAAATCCTCTGGGTAAGAGAGAACCCAGGAGCCAGGAATCTGGGGCAGAGCTGTTGTTGCCCACCCCTCAAGCCAGCCTGTGATCCCAGAGGGCCTTGGGGGGGAGGGTCTCCACCCAGGGCAGCCCCTCACTCCGGCTCCCCCTCTCCCCAGTCCCCCGGTGCAGTTCTCCCTGCTGCACTCCAAGTTCCACCTGTGCAGCGTGGCCACGCGAGCCCTACTGTTGTCCACGTACATCAAGTTCATCAACCTCTTCCCGGAGACCAAGGCCACCATCCAGGGTGTGCTGCGGGCCGGCTCACAGCTGCGCAACGCCGACGTGGAGCTGCAGCAGCGCGCTGTCGAGTACCTCACCCTCAGCTCCGTGGCCAGCACCGATGTCCTGGTCAGAGCCCTGCATCCCCAGCCCCAGGACCCTCCCACCCCTTGGGACCGGAAGGGTCACCCTTTTGACCGACCAGCCCCATCCCACCCGCAGGCCACCGTGCTGGAGGAGATGCCGCCCTTCCCGGAGCGTGAGTCCTCCATCCTGGCCAAGCTGAAACGCAAGAAGGGGCCCGGGGCCGCCAGCGCCCTGGACGATGGCCGCAGGGACCCCAGTAGCAATGACATCAATGGCGGCGTGGAGCCCACCCCCAGCACTGTGGTGAGTCCCGCCCAGTGGGTCCTGGGGGCTGGGGCCCACAGCCCACTGCCCTATCTCACGTTCGTCCCCCACTTCTGCAGTCCACACCTTCGCCCTCTGCTGACCTCCTGGGGCTGCGGGCAGCCCCTCCCCCAGCAGCACCCCCAGCTCCCACGGCAGCTGGGAACCTCCTGGTGGATGTCTTCTCTGATGGCCCGGCTGCCCCGCCCAGCCTGGGGCCCACCCCCGAGGAGGCCTTCCTCAGGTACCACCCGAGAGCACCCCAACTCTCAACCTCTACCCCCTCCCACCCCCACCTCCAACCTGATCCTCTCTCCCTGTCCCTGCCATCTTTGCCAGTCCTGCCTGCTGCCTCCCTCTGGCCACTCAAGGCCGCCGCCCTGGCCACCCTCTGTTGTCCTTTTGGTCCTTTTCGCCCAACCTGACTGTTGCTCAGCCTGCTCTTCCTTCTCTCCTTCCCTCCTCCCGCTCTGTCTCTCTGTCTTCGGTCCTCTTGCTGCTCTCTGGGATTGGCTGCCTGCCACGCCTGTCTTCTCTGTCTGCTCTGGGATTGGATGGCCCAGCGAGCTGGAGCCGCCTGCCCCTGAGAGCCCCATGGCTTTGCTGGCTGACCCAGCTCCAACTGCTGAGTAAGGGCTGGCCTCAGGAGGTGGGGGGACAGCATCTGGTACCCCGTGGTGGGTCCTGATCCCACTGACAGTGGCTACTGTCAGTCTGATTCTGTCCTCTGAGGTTTCTGGGGGGGGGGGGTCTGGATTTGTGGATTCTGGGGACCCATCCATCCTTCCAGGGTCATATCTCTAGCTCCCTTCACCTCCGTTTCACTCCTTTCCCCTCCCCCAGCCCAGGTCCTGAGGACATTGGCCCTCCCATCCCTGAAGCTGATGAATTGCTGAACAAGTAAGTCCTGGGAGAGAGGGATGAGGAGAAGGAGATGGCTGACGGCCTTCAGGCAGGGCCAAGACAGGCTCCCAGCCATCCTGCCATCCTGTCTTCTCTTCCCACCCAGGTTTGTGTGCAAGAACAACGGGGTCCTCTTTGAGAACCAGCTGCTGCAGATCGGAGTCAAGTCAGAGTTTCGGCAGAACCTGGGTGCGTCTCAGTGGCCTGCGGGAGGAGCGGGGCTGCAGGCTGGGGATGCGGTCAGGGGACCGCTGATGCAGCCTTGTCCCCCCCCCCATCCCCATCCACAGGCCGCATGTATCTCTTCTACGGCAACAAGACTTCCGTGCAGTTCCAGAACTTCTCACCGACTGTTGTCCACCCGGGAGACCTCCAGACTCATATCCTCTCAGACCTGGCCGGGACCCCAGCCCCCTCCCCCCCAGCCCCTCTAGACAGCCACTGGGAAGCCCAGGGAGAGGCCCAGGTTCAGAGCTCCGTTCCAGTGGGCATGGGCACCTGGCTATGTGTGCCCAGCAGTCCTGTCCTCCATACCACCACGCCAGAGCCTTGTACACTCGAGAGGTGTCACTTAGCCTAACGAATCCTCCGTGAAGTGCAAGGACATTTCACACGTGTCCACTTTGGAGATAAGGCTGAGAAGTTACGTAGCTTGCCAGGTGGCCCGCTGTGACCCCTTGGTGGACGGCGGGGATGCATGCACCTGGGTAGGCCCAGGGTCTCCCCAGCCCTGGACTTCCTGACAAAGACCGGGGCTGGGGCTGTAAGGAGATCAAGAGTTTATAGCCCAGAGCGCCTGGCTTCCTTGACCCCCGCGCTACAGCTGGCCGTGCAGACCAAACGCGTGGCTGCTCAGGTGGATGGCGGGGCCCAGGTTCAGCAGGTGCTCAACATTGAGTGCCTACGGGACTTCCTCACGCCGCCCCTGCTCTCAGTGCGCTTCCGGTGAGTGGGGGGGGCATCAAGGTGGGGAGGGGATCCTCTGGGGAAGGGCGGGGCCTGACAGCCTGTCCTCCCCAACCAGGTACGGGGGTGCAACCCAGTCCCTCACCCTGAAGCTCCCGGTGACCATCAACAAGTTCTTCCAACCCACAGAAATGGCGGCCCAGGACTTCTTCCAGCGCTGGAAGCAGCTGAGCCTGTGAGGGGGCGGGACTGCAGGGCAAGGGGCGGGGCTAGCCACACGGGGCGGGGCTAGTGGTGGAGCCAGCTATATGGGCGTGGCTACAGAGCGATGGGTGGGGCCATCCACAGAGGCCAGGGCTACAGGGTGAGGGGCGGAGCCAATCACACAGGGGGCGGGGCGGCCCTGACTTGAGTGTTCCCGGCCCCCAGCCCCCTGCAAGAAGCCCAGAAAATCTTCAAAGCCAACCACCCCATGGATGCTGAAGTGACGAAGGCCAAGGTGAGAGGCATGTTTGTAGGGTAAAGCAGGGCCAGGGCTTGGGGAGACTGGGACACGACTCCTGTGGGGGACCTACAGAACCCTGGCATTTTTTGATGCTCTTCCCCGCCACCAGCTTCTGGGGTTTGGCTCTGCCCTCCTGGACAATGTGGACCCCAACCCTGAGAACTTTGTGGGGGCTGGAATCATCCAGACTAAAGCCCTCCAGGTGGGCTGTCTGCTCCGCCTGGAACCCAACGCCCAGGCTCAGGTGAGTGTGGTTAAACCCAGTGGGGAAGAAGAACTCCAGATGCCCTGTTCTCAGCCTCTGGCCTCCTTCCCACCTTTTGTCTTCCATTCCTTACTTCCGGTCTTCTATCACCTGACTTCATCCACCTGCCTCTCCCCCCCAAGCTCCTCACACAATGCTTCTCCCCAGATGTACCGACTGACCCTGCGTACCAGCAAGGAGCCCGTCTCCCGCCACCTTTGTGAGCTACTGGCCCAGCAATTCTGAGCCCTGGATCTACCCTGGAGATGTGGCCAGCACCAGGCAGCCCCTAGGACTGAGGCAGCTTTGGTGGACGGACAGCATAGGGACCTCCACTGGTGACAGGGAAGACCCCAGGGTGGGGGGGATGCCTGGGACCTTCCTCCGGCCTTTTGTATTTTTATTTTTGTTCATCTGCTGCTGTTTACATTCTGGGGGGGTCAGGGGGAGCCCCCTCCCTCCCCTTTTCCCCCCCAAGCACAGAGGGGAGAGGGGCCAGGGAAGTGGGTACCACCTCCTCTCCCCCACCCTGTTGTAGCCCCTCCTACCCCCTCCTCGTCCAGGGGCCGTGTATTATTGTGAGCGAATAAACAGAGAGATGCTACTAGCTCCAGCTGTGTGTCAGTGCCCCACCCAAATCGTGTCAAAGGAGTGGGGTGAGGGCATGCAGTGTGTTGGTGGCCAGGCTGCGCAGCCCATAGGTGGGGCTCTGAGGGGACAGCAGCAGCAGCAGCAGCCGCATCCCCAGATGAAGAGCCACGAACTGCCACCCGCTGCCTGGCCCCAGCACCACGTAGCAGGCCCTGGGCAGCTGGGCTGAGCGGACTACATCTTCTGCCTTCTCTGCTGGCCCTGATTCTGAGGAGAGGACACAGAAGGCAGTTGATGCCAGCTCTTGGATGCCACTGCCACCTATGTTTGTGTCTGCCTATCTGTGACCAGGAAGCCACAGACTGGCTCCTCTCACCCTCTGCCTTGCCCAGTCTGGGTCGTTGTTTTTGTGCAATCATAGACCACAAATCCCGACACCACAGGTAACACCACAGGCCAGTCACTAGACTGTGACCCAGGCGCTGGAATAATGCTCCCAAGGGACCCATCCACATTACACGCTGACATGACAGGTGGATGAGGGGAGGAGGGAAGGAGTCTGGCACTCTGCTAGTGAGCATGTGCATCCTGCTCTTCACCTGGGCCGGGCATCCTCCTGCTGCCTGCCTCTTTCTCTGCTGGTGGAATCTGTGACACTGGATGGGGGGAGGGGGTGGGGAATGGTGGTTCAGGTAAGCAGCCTTTGCCCCAAACATGCAAAACTCTGGGCCTCATCTCCAGCACCAAAAATAGCTATGGAATGCCAATTTTTCTTTCCCACTTACAATCTAAAGGGTTCTCATACCCTACACTGTGGGCAAAGAACCATCCTGGTTGGTGCCAGCATCTGCCTATCTCTCTACCCCCTCCTCTTGCTCCCACTGGGGGGTCCTGGCCCTCAGCATCCCCGCCCCAGCAGGCACTGCTGACCTGGTGGGAACTGTGTGGTGGTAACCATGGTGTAGAAGTTCCGGAGGAGGCGCCGGCGCTGTTCTGCAGAAGGCTCTGGGAGAAAGGAGAGGCTTGGTGACGGAGGGCCGGCCCCGGCCCCCCGCCCTCCAGGCCCCCGCCCTCCATTACCTTTATCCCCCAACGGCTCCACGGTGAAAAGACAACGTTTCAGTTCCAGATGGAGGAGCAGTAGTCTGTGGGAAAGGGAGTGGAGATCACAGCCAGGAAAAAGGGGGTGAAGCCCACCAAACCCCTCCCTCCTCTCACCGAGCCCTACCCCAGGATATCAGCGTGCAGCGGGAAGCCATCCGGGAGGGCCCGCGGGCCCAAGGGCAGGCAGGCCCGCAGAGGGTCCAGCAGCGGCTGCCACCAGCGCTCCAGCAGCTGCAGGGGGTGTGGCGAGGGGCGTGACCTCGTGAGGCGTGGCCAGCGGACGGGGGCGGGGCCCGGGAGGAGGCTGGTAGGAAACTGAGCGGAACTAGGACTAAGGTGATTGGAGCACACCCAAAGTGGGCGTGCCCTCAGGGACTGGGCGGGGAGGAGCAAAACAGCGGACTGCTCAGGGAGGCAGGGAGTATGTATCAGAAGGAAAAAGCGGGACGCCACGCGGTTCACCTGTTGGTCCAGCTGGCTGAGGGACGGGCGTGGCCCGCAAAGGAGACACAGTTCCAAGCCCGGCAGCAGCGTGAGGGTCAGGAGCCGGTGCGGGACCTGAGGCAGGGCAGGGGCCGCAGCTGACCGCACTTGGCCCATTCAAAGCCCTTTGCTGCTGGGGCACCACGCTGCGCCCGCCCCCAGCCCGCCCACTTACCGTGGGACTCCCGTGGGGTAAGTACACCGGGTAGTCGCGAGCAGCCTGGGGCGGCAGGGACCCTACCAGCCAGGGGAGCAGCACAGACTCCGGGGTCCCCAGCCGCCACCAGCTGTCTGTCGCTGCCACCACCCGGCCGGACACCACCAAACTGACGAAGGCTGTGCCTGTGGCCTCGGCGAACCCAGAGAGGGCTTCCTGAGTGAGCAAGGCCGACTGGGAGTCAGGGGCCAGGTGTGCGAGGAGGGGGAGGAGACCCACGGACAGTCAGGGGCTTGCTGAGCAGCCAAGCCCCCGTATCTTACCCTCCCTGAGTTTGAACTCCTTCATCGTCATGCACTGTCAGGGACCCCCATTTTCCTCGCTGCGCAGCTGTATTAAACTACCTGGCTGACCCAGGCCAAAGCTAACAATCTGATCCACAGCTACAAGTTATTGATTACTGCAACTTGTCAAGTAGCCCCAACCCCCAACCCACTACAGCCCAAAGAAGTCAAGGTGTTGAGTTCACACTGCTGGCCATAGTGGCTGAATACAGGAGTATTTTAGGAAAGGTAGATAGAGCATGCTCCTCGGTTGGAAAGAAGGAAAGTGCTTTGTGGAGGCAGGTTAAGAAGGCACTTTGTAGATATGTCAGGCCCCGAAACCCCAAGTCTCAGAGCTGAGAGTTTGTCCTGTGGGAAATGACAGCCACAGAGGAGCTATGAGCAGGGGACAGACAGACAGGACAGCTCTGGGTACAGAAGGATTTTTTTTTTTCTTTTTTTCTTTTGGTTCTAGTCGTGGGCCTGAACTCTGGGCCTGGGCGCTGTCCCTCAGCTCTTTAGCTCAAGGCTAGCACTCTACCACTTGAGCCACAGAGCCACTTCGGCTTTTTTCTTTTTGTTTATGTGGTGCCAAGGAATTGAACCCAGGGCTTCATGCATGCAAGACATGCGCTCTACTACTGAGCCACCTTCCCAGCCCCATGATATTTTTTTTTAGGGTCAAGTGGGGCCAGACAAGGGGAAAGAGGATGAGAACCAAACCAAAGCCATGGAAACAGATAAAGATTTCCACAGCCTCTCCAATACCTGCAGGGGGGACCCCTCTGGAGGAATTACACAGTCCACACACTGGGTCAGGTCCCCGATGAGCTCAGAGTCCCCCAGAAAACTGTCTATGAGGTGATAACTGGCCTGTCAGAGAGAGAAAAATGAGGAGTCCAGGATCTGGGTGATCTCCAGATCTGCTTCCTCCAGAAAATTCTGGAGTCAGACAAACCAAGTTGTACCCAAAACCCATGGGTCATATTGCCCCAAGGGCTGCTGGGAGTTGTAGTTCTCAGATATCAGTACCAATGTATTCTAAGTCTCCATTCTCCCATCTTTCAGCCTCACCCTTAATTCCTTCTTCAGTCTTTCTACATTGCGGATATCGGTCAGTTCTTCAAGTCCCACAAAAAGAACCTACAAGAACCACACAGAAGAGTAGGGACCCTTGATAAGTTGTTGTTGTTGTTTTTCTTTTTCAGGTCTTAGTGCTTGAACTCAGGGCCTGAGCACTGCCCCTGAGCCTTTTTTGCTAAGGCCAGTGCTCTACCACTAGAGCCACAATTATAATTCTGTCTTGGTGCTTAATTGGAGAAAAGATCTCATGGACTTTCCTGCCTGTGTTTTGAAACTTGATTCTCAGATCTCAGCCTCCTGAGTAGTTAGGATTACAGATGTGACCCACCAGCATCTGGCTGATAAGTGGTTTTATAGAGGTGATGGTACCTTCCCTGAACATTTGGGTGTCAGGGAGAAAGGGCAGGGTCTGTGCACCCAAGATTGAGGAAGGAGAATGCTGGAAGCCTGGACTCCTGGGTCTGAGAGAGGAGAAAGCTAAGAGATCTGGGGAGTCTCACCATGGCCCCAAATACCATCTGGAGCAGTCTCTCCAGCCTCAGCTCTGAGGTGTCCTCCTCAGATGACAGGACGATAAGAGTGATGCTGCAGAAACAGAAGATGAGATGAAGCAACGGGTCCAGGTCTGGGAAACAGCAGAGGAATAGCACAGATCGTCTTACCTTAGCTACACCCTCCCTCAGCCCAACCTGCCTCTTTTCCAGAGAAAAGACAGGGATCAGAACCAGTTTTTTAGTCTGTTAAAGACCCCTACAGCCAAACAGACAACTGGAAAGAAGACTCTGGGGTCAGTTTCAACAGGGGCTCTCACCCAGGCCTTGTCCACACCCCAATTATTTAATTTTATTTTGCCAGGGACCTGTCATGGAAGCTTCTCCACACCACAGTTGTGTCCTCAGTCTTGGCGGAATTCAGTTGCACCTCCAAATTCTGTCCAAACATATGGACTCCATTGAGGGAGCCGATTACAGAGAAGGGGAGCTGGGGAAGATTTGGGAGCATTAGGCAGAAGCTCCCAGTTCCCTCTTTCCAGCCCCCCTCCCCCCCCCCCGTCAGGCAGAGCCTCTCCGGGGAACCAGGTTAATTCGTGGTCCCTCGGACCTCTAAACTCAACACAGAACCCTCCCTAGCCCCAAGAGCCCAGAAAATCTGGAGTCCAAGAAATGTAAGATCCAAGGGTCCAGAATCCCCCACCACCACACACCTGCTGGCGGGTGGGGGTGCCGCCCCGACTGCTCCTGCAGAACAGGGGGACCCCGCTGGAGGCTGCGAGGCAAAGCAGATGCACGGTGGCCCCTGGCCCCTCCTCTTCCATTTGGAGCGCCCGCGAACAGGCTCTGTGCCCCCCGGGGGTGAGCTCAGGGCCGATCTGGGAGCCAGCCGGCCATCTCTCGAAATGGGCCTGCCATCCGGAGCCGCCAGAGGGCGAGGTGGAAAACTAATTGGAAGACAACCCAACTCCCGCCTTCTCCATCTAATTCAAGTCTCTCAACGAACTCCCATGCTAGGTTCTCTTCCGCCCCAGCCGGAAGTCACAGTACCCGTAACAAAGATGGCGTCTAAAGCTTTGTAGGTACAGCCCCCTCCCCCAAACAAACGCAGGGTTTGACTTCGTTTACTTAATGAGGAGTGGTGGCGGCCAGGTGTTGCCTAGCAACTATCCTGCAGGTTATGATGATTTACATCCTAGATTGCAAAAAAAAAAAAGGTACGGGGCGATGGCGAAGCGAAGCTAAGCCGTTGCCTAGCAACCGCATTTCCCAGGGGCGGGCAAACGCGCTGCCCTACTTAAAGATGGTGATGGCGCCAGGGGTTGCCTAGCAACCGCCCTTCCATCTCATTTGCATGCACGCTGCTTTGCCCTTCTCAAAGATGGCTGCGGGTCCCAGACTCCTCCCCTGGAGAATATGGGAGGGAAAAAAACCATCATCTCCCGTAACTTTCAGGAATGGTTCAGTCCAGCGGGGTTACCTAGTAATCATCAAATGAGATGGTTGCTTTTGTTATTAGAAAAAGGAAGTCTTACTTCCTGAAACATAAAAGTTACATTTGTAGCCGGGCGTTGGTGGCTCAATCCTGTCATCCTAGGTACTGAGGAGGCTGAGATCTGAGGATCGCGGTTCAAAGCCAGCCCGGGCAAGAAAGGCTGTGAGACTCTTATCTGGGCTGGGAAGTTGGCTTAGTGGTAGAGTGCTTGTCTTGCATGCATGAGGCCCAGGGTTCGATTCCTCAGCACCACATAAGCAAAAAAAAAAAAGCTGGAAGTGGCGCTGTGGCTCAAGTGGTAGAGTGCTAGCCTTGAGCTGAAGAGCTGAGGGACAGCTCCCAGGCCCAGAGTTCAGGCCCCACGACCAGACCAAAAAAAAAAAGAGACTCTTATCTCCAATTAACCACCAGAAAACTAGAAGTGGTGCTGTGGCTTAAGCGGTAGAGCACTCTCCTTGAGCTGAATCCCTGAGGGACAGCGCCCAGGCCCAGAGTTCAAGCCCCATGACCACCACTACCAACAACAAAGTGCTGCCAAGCTAGGGATGTGTAGCTTATGCCTATAATTCTTGCTACTTGGTAAGCCGAGATGTGAGAATCAATATTCAAAGTCACCCTGGGTAGGAAAGTCCCTGAGACTCTTAACTCCAATTAAACACTGGAAGTGGAGGCCTAGCTCAAGTTGTAGAGAACTTGCATTGCTCAGAGACAGCACTCAGACCCTGAGTTCAAGCCCCAGGACTGGCACACACACACACACACACACACACACACACACACACACAAAAACACACAAACACAAACACACACACAATTGGTGAGTTTCATAATGCTATCTTCATATATGTAAAATTAATTTCTAATTTCTTCACCCCCAAGTACCCTTTCCTCTCCTTCTCTCCTGCCTTTTCCACACCCCTCTTCTCACAGTTCCTCTTTAAAATTTGTTTTTTTTTGTCGGTCATGGGGCTTGAACTCTGGGCCTAGGTGCTGTCCCTCAGCTCTTCAGCTCAAGGCTAGCGCTCTACCACTTGAGCCACAGCACCACTTCCGGCATTTTCTGCTTATGTGGTGCTGAGGAATTGAACCCAGGGGCCTCATGCATGCAAGGCAAGCACTCTACCACTAAGCTACCTTCCCAGCCCTCCTCTTTTTAACTTATGTCCCATTTATCATCATCATCATTTTTGTTCTAGGTTCTGCAAAAAAAAATTACATATTTTTATTTCTGGTGGACACTGAATTGTATATATTCCAGTAGGATGGTGTAACCTTTCAATACATACAATGTAGGTAGATCAGATCAGGAATAATTGCTGTATCCATCATTCATAATTTCTGTTAGGAACATTCAAAATCCTCGTTTAATTTTTTTCCCTATGATAACTGAAACTTTAACCCGCTGAGACCATGCATGCCCCCTTCCTTCAGTTCTTTCCTTGTGTTTTGTTTTTGAGACAGGGTCTCCTAACTTTATCTACCCAGGCTGGCCTGGAACTTGCGATAGTTCTGCCTCCGCCTCCAAATAGCTGGGATTACCAGATGAAAGGTCTTTTTATGTAGGGAATAAGGCTTCCTCAGCCTCCTTCCTGTCTTCATGTTGTTTATTTTTCGAAACTGCTATCCGCAAGATGCATTTGCATAACAAATTTCTATCCACACGTGTTACAAAGATGTTCTCCACTTTATTATGTATTTTTCAACACAATTTATGCGGTCTTCGAAGAGTCAACAGATCAAGATTTCGTATTTTGTGTTTTTGCGGGAGTGATACTCGAGTCAGTTCCAGTTTTTCAGGATTTTACCATATATTCTTTCCCTTCAGATACCGTTTTCGGGTTTCATTTGTTGCATTCACATTTTTAATCCTCTTGGAATGTATTTATGTTCTGGGTCAGTTTCTGGCTTTTTTCCCAGAAAACAACTATCAGGTGTTGCCTAGCAACGTCCACTTGGGCTGGGCTACGGCTTCTTTTAGAGGGGGGGGCGGGGAAGGGAAGAAAACAACTCGCACCGGCTTCCCAGCTGCCACTCTTACGCGTTGCCTAGTAACCGCGCTTCGGACCACGTGACTGGTCCTGCCCTCGTTCCCTGCCCCCGCCCCTCCCCCAGAGGCCAACCAGAAACTCGAGCTCTCTGTGAGGAAACAAGGGCCGTGGACGCGTTGCGTAGCAACCAGGCCTCCTGACCCCGCCCCCCGGACCCCGGGCAAACGGGCGCCCCGCTCAAAGATGGCAAGAGGCGCTGCTGTTCAGCGACCGGTAGTTGGCTCTTTAGGGTTCACGTAGTACTTCAGCCATCCCCCTGGGGCTCCGAGAACCCCGTCAGAGACGTCCACGCCGTGCGTGTGAACGGTGATGAAGTTAAAAAAAAAAAAGAAGGCCCGGGCGGCCCCGCACAAGCATGGCGGCGCGCATGCGCAGCGCAAGCCGCGGACCCGCAAGGGCGCACGCGCGAAAAAGGCGCACTTCCGCTCTTCGGCGGCGACCGTGGCGGCGGTGGCGACGGCGGGGGTGGCGCGGGGCATGGTCCCCGGGTCCGAGGGCCCGGCCCGCGCCGGGGGCCTGGTGGCCGACGTGGTGTTTGTGATTGAGGGCACCGCCAACCTGGGGCCCTACTTCGAGGGGCTCCGCAACCACTACCTGCTCCCCGCGATCGAGTGAGTGCGGCTCCCGCGCCCCAGCCCCGCCCCCACCGGCGCTCCCGGCCGCCAACCTGACCCCACCTTTACCTACCCCGGTCCCCGCAGGTACTTCAATGGTGGGCCCCCTGCCGAGACGGACTTCGGGGGAGACGTGAGTCTGGGCTCGCCTGGTCTGAGGGCGGAGGCTGGGGCCTGGACCACTAGGCCTGAGAGAGGAGGCTGGGCCTGGACCCCTGGGTCTAAGGGTGGAGGCTGGGACCTGGACCCCTGAGCCTGAGGGAAGACGCTGCGGTCTAGACTCCTGGGTTTGAGGGAGGAGACTGGGACCTAGACCCCAAGTCTGAAACAGGAGTCTGGGCCTGAATCCCTGGGTCTGAGAGAGAAAGCTTGTCCTGGAGCTATGGATCTGAGGGAGAAGGGCCGGGGCCTGGAGCCCAAAGTCTGAGGAAGGAGGACTGGGGGCTGGACTTGGTCTCCTGGGTCTGAGGGAGGAGGCTGGGGGCTGGCCCTCTGGGTCTGAGGGAAGAGTTTGGCCCTGGACTCCTGGGTCTGAAGGAGGACTCTGGGGTCTAGATTCCTGGGTTTGAGGGAGGAGGCTGGGGCCCTAGACCCCTAGTCTGAGAGGGGAGGTTGAGCTGAATCCCTGGATCTGAGAGAGGATGTTTGTCCTGGATCAATGAATCTGAGGGAGAAGGGCTGGGACCTGGAGCCCTAAGTTTGAGGAAGGAGGACTGGGGGCTGGACCTGGTCTCCTGGGTCTGAGGGAGGAGGCTTGGGCCTTGGACCCCTGAGTCTGAGGGCAGAGGCTCAGGCCTGGAGTCCTGAGGGGGAAGGAAGTGTGTGGGTCAGGGTTTCGGTGTGTGAGATAGCTGGGAGCCCTAGTTCCTTCTCGGATTCACTGGAGCTTTCCTCCCAGATTAAAAGTCTCTGTCTCCCATTTTCAGTATGGGGGAACCCAGTATAGCCTTGTGGTCTTCAACACGGTGGACTGTGCCCCGGAGTCCTACGTACAATGCCACGCCCCCACCAGCAGCGCCTATGAGTTTGTCACCTGGCTGGATGGCATTAGGTGAGCACTCCCCCCTGCTTGGAGAGGGTGGGAGGACTGTGGTGGCTTGGGCTGGAGCTCTCTCCTCTTGGGTAGCTGAAGCGACCACCAGGGTGATGTGTTTCTGTCCCTTTTGTCACTTGGGGGAGGATTCTGTGCTTGGCAGGATTCATCTTGTTCCTTGTACTGTGTGTGACCCTCTCCTCTGCCACCTCAGCCCTGTGTCCTTGGCCTTTCAAATGGGTGTGTTGAGGCCTGAATCCAGGGGCTGGGGCTGGGGCTGGGCTAGGAGATCCTGCTGTGTGGTTTGGGTCAGGTCTTCCTGCTTCACATTTTAGTTCTGGAGTCTTGTGTCTTGGGGTTGAATGACAGCTCCTTATTCCCCATAGACATTTCTTTTTTTTTTTTTCCTGTCCTCTTTGAATATTATCTTCAAGGAGTTGTAGGATGGAGTTGTTTCTGTCTGACTTATCTATTCATGTGTACAGTTTCAGCAGAACCTCTCTCCCCAGAGGGGAAAGGCTCCTGTGCCTGTGGCTCATTCTCCAAAGTGGCAATGGTGGTGTATTGTGCGTTACCGTTTTCATCTGTTGCTGTATAATGAGGTTCCCCGTAACAACTTAGTGGTTGAACACCACAAGGAGTTTTCAAGACAAGTTTTATAGCCCAGATTAGCCCAGGATTCACTATGCTCCGTAGGTTGGCCTTGAACTTGAGATCCTCCTCCCCACTCTCTTTTAATGCTGGGATTATAGGCATATACTACCCTGCCCAGCAATTTTTCTTTTTTTGGGGGGGGGGGGGTCTGGTCGTGGG